GAGTGCCTTGCCCCGCCCCGAGCCCCGAGCCTGGCACGTCTGACGCCTGCTGGTGGCCTTGGGTCTCTGGCTTGGCTCTCTGAACCTTCTTACCACACCTTTTCGTGCCTCTGCCAAGTCCAGCCTCCATACCCAGAGGGTGTCTTCATACTCTGGGGAAGTCTGTTCAGTTCATTCGCCTAAACTGGGGCTGATTTCAAAGATGCTGAAAGGAAGAGGCCAAAGGAATGGATCTTTGAAAATGGGGTCTCAAGGGATTTAACATGGGTGGGGGAGGAAGAAGGCTTCCTTGAGGACCTCACACCACTCCGCAGCTGGCTGCAGCAACCCTGGCTGCCTCTGTGTGCCGGAAGTTTCTAAGCAAGTGTGCAGATGGGGGTGGACACCGTGGGGGAAGACTTGGGGCAAGATGAGCGCATCCCTCTCCGGGAGGATGTGACAAAGTGGAGGGAGGCGGCAGCAGGTGTCTCAGATCCTGTGCTGGTTAGGATTACCAAGACCTCCAGCTAAGAATAGCCTGCATATTGAGCTCCCCTCCGCTGTCCTGTCCTCCAACAGCCAGATGAGGCAGAGGGGGAAATCCACTCACTTTCTAGTCCCTGCAAGCTGGCTTCTATTAAAGTCACTCTACTGAGCCCTGTCCCTCATACTTCAGTGGCCAGTGAGCTCCCTGGCTTCAGACCTGGGCGGCCCCAGCCTCACAGCCATGAAGGACCACCCCTTTTTGAAGCTCTGTCCTACCTCTTCATTCTCTGTTGCTGGGACCCTTCTCTTCCCTGGCTCCTTTTCATAGAAACATTCCCTAAGATTTCTGCCTTTCTCTTCTCGCCTTGTTCTTCCTGCTGAGTCTCTCCTAGCAATGCAGCACGTCAGCTGTCACCCCCTTGCACACCACTGCTTTCTCTCCCACACTCAGAAACTCTGCACCGCTGCCAGACCTCGCTGGGGTCTGTCTCAGTTAGTACAGTAGCTTTCCAAGTCATGTCTCTGCCTCCCGACACCCCTACCCCCTCCAGGATATCACACGGTTCGCTCACCCTACCCCACCCTAACCCACAGCTCTGCTCGCGTCATGGGATCACCAGTGGACTCCTTAGCTCCTGTACAATCCTGCCCAGCCTTCCTTCCCAGCCCTGTCCCTACAAGTCCCCTCCAGGAGCTCTGGCAAGACAGCAGCCCTTGCCGTCCGGCCAGCACCCTGTGCCCATCTTTGATCGTGAGGTTCCTACTGTCCAGCACGCCTTCCTCCAGAACGCTCACACGCCCAGACCGCTGCTGTCTCCTCTGCTCTGTAGACTTGCCTCCTCTCTTGGGCTAGCGGTCATCTCCGGTGCCCTGGGGCTCTCTGGCCACCCACTTGCCCTTGCCTTATGCACACATCACTGTACTTATTCGTGCTTGTGGGATGGTTGTGCTACAAAGCAAGTGCCTCAGATGTAGAAGTAGTCCGTCTTTGCCTCCCCCATAGTACCCAGCACAGGACGTTCCACAGAGTAAGTATTTATTGAGGGAATTAAACCAACTGAAGATCCAGAAAGAAGTCCTTGGCCCAGCACCCTGCAGTCCCTGGAGATGGAGGCAGAATGAGAACCAGAATCCTGCCTCCACCTTCCATCCTTAGGTGGACTTGGACAGGGATGGGTCCTAAGCACTTAATCCACAGACTTATTTATTCCCTACAACGTACAAGCACTGTGCTAGCCCTTCAGTTAACAAAAAAGACGGACAAGATATTGTATCATCCCCTGTCAAGATCTCCAGACACTTGAAACTTAAGGACTTTCGGAAATCTCTCTCTCACACCTAAGAAGATAGCAAAGTGGCATTTGGTACATCCCAAAAGAGGAAAAAAGGAGATAGGAGCTATTGGAAATAAGGACACTAATGTGTACAGAACTCCAGAGATGTGCCAGGCAGCATGTGAGAAATACTCACATATAACCCCTTATTCAGGGGGTAAGATTATTCCCATATCATGTGTGGGCGAGCTCAGACTCGGAGATATTAACTCATCCGTGGTCGCAGCTAGTGAGCATTACAGTCTAGATTCTTGCCTGTCTTCATCACCTGAGTGGGATGTTCTCCACTTCCGGCCAGGCATGGTGGGTTCCGGGATGGGAGAGTACATGGGGCCAGAGCATTGGGAAAGGCTGGGGTTTGCATGATCTTTAAGGATGAGCAGGATTTCAGGGGCGCTTGGGTGGCTCAGTCGGTTAAGTGTCCAACTCTTGATTTCGGCTCAGGTCATGATCTCAGGGTCTTGAGGTCCGCATCAGGCTCCAAGCTTAGTGGGGAGTCTGCTTGAGATTCTCTCTCTCTCCCTCTGCCCCTCCCCCCACCTCTAAACAAATAAAAGAATGAGCAGGATTCCAGTCCGCAGACAAGACATGCAAGGGAAAATACTAAAAGGGAAAACAGCATGAGAAAAAGGGCTTGAGGCAGGAAGCTGTGAGGCGTGTTCAGGGGAAGTTGAGCAGTCCATGGGTTTGGCTAGAATTGTAAGTTTGCCTGGAGAAGTGGCAGGAAAAGATTGGGCCACACTAGGGAAAGTTTTGCGGTAGCAGGAGCTTTGAGAAGGAGAGTGATCATGCAGTTGTGGGTTGGGGTCTGGGGGAGAGGCTGGTCTTGTGGCAGCATGCTGGGGGCTGAGGCTCTAGGGTCCCCGAGACAGAGGGTCCAGTGTACAGAGGTGGGGGGGGTGGTACGTGACTTCTAAACTCTTGAGAAAGGGTCACTTCTAGGCCC